CCTGGCAGGCAGTGAGGCCCAGCAATGCTGCCCAGAGCTGAGGCGTCCTGTCCCTGGAGGTGCCCCAGGCCATGGATGGGCCCTGGGCAGCCGGAGCTGGGGGGCAGCCGGAGCTGGGGGGCGGCCGGGGCGGGGGGGGGGGGGCAGCCAGCCCACGGCAGGGCTGGGCTGAGGGGTCCCTTCCAGCCCAACCGTGCTGTGTGCTTAGTGACACTTGCCAACTGTATGAATATGTGTAAAAACAAATGGCCTTCACAGCAGTAGCCAGAAGTTCAACGACAAGCCAAGGCTTCTCAATGCAGCCAAGAACGCCTTGCTACCTGCGCTGGAGGAATAACCACATCAGCAGCTCTGGTCAAGCCTGAAAGACTGCTAGTGAAGACTTTCGATTTGGTTACAAACATGCAAATTCTTGAATATTACTGAGCAAGACAGGGAGAACACACAGGTAGGAGGGAACAGGAAGAAACACTCTGAAGTGAAGGAGATTCTACACCAGTGCTGCTGCCCTCGGCCGTGTCCCCACGCACCGCAGGGCTCCAGGCGCCCACCTGCAGGTCCCTGCTCCAGCCCTGCGCTCCTGCTCACCTGGCACTGTTCTTTGATAGCTTAATTCCTGCCATGCTGCAGTAGGATGCCTAATTTTTAGAAAAAAGTTGACTTCGAGCAATTCAACTGCTAATCAGAGGACAAGCTACTGCAGGCAAAGTGACACTGCAACAGCTCTGTAGGTTGCAGATAATTTTCTACTACTACTGTGTTTTAGAGATCTAGAACATGGCAATCCACATCTATATTGATAATGCACAAGTCCTAACTTTAACACAGCACCATGAAGCTTAGGAGGCTGATAAAAACTGCACAGAAAGATTTAAAACATGTATCTGTAGCTTGGTACTTCTGTTCTAAGGGTATTTACGATAACCAGAACCAGAAGTTGCACTTAGATTTCCAATTTCATACCCTCCAGATGTAATTGAAAATTTTCAAGTCTCATCCTAACTCTAGATCAAATTAAAAAAGAGAAATTAAATGAAGAGCAGATGTACACAATGACTTGCTGAGCCCTGCTGCCAACTTCAACACCAAGATGCACGTAGGAGCTCTCGACTTGACCTCAAAGACATTTGAATTTCTGCTAACATCAATGCAAACTGGTTGCATACTGACACTGCTGAGCTGATCTGTGCTTAAGGCCTTGTTAGAATCCGGAGCTGAAGGCACTGTAGTCTGTGCAGCAAAGCAAACTGCTCACTGAGCTCTGCAGCAGTGACCTGCCATGCACCAGGCATTGTGAGGAACCCGGCTGCACAGCAGAGCACATCACCTGCATCCCAGTTAGGGAATATTAACCCAGATGGAGAAGACAAGACAAAGGAAATAAAACTTGGAGATGCCACTACCACAGAAATAGAACATTCCAGCAACTGCTGCCAGTCAGTTACTCTCCTAGCAGCGGAGAAAAAGCTGTAAAAGGTACTTGGCATCACTTGGCCTTCTGCATCCACTCTTACAAACACCACTTTGGCACAGGAGCACCTCCACACATCACACAGGAAGACCAAGTACTGCAAAACATAATGTTCCAGTTCCAAAGCGCTCTATGGAAGGAGCCTATGGCTCAGTAGGCCTCTTGTCAGCGAGTGGATGAGAAGAAACAAAAACCCTACAAGGGTATCAGAGAAATAGGACATTACAAAGTTGGAGCCATTCCATTTCTATCATCTACACAGTGTGTGCTTCCAGATGCAGATTTGGAAAGGATGAAAGAGAAAGAAGCTCGCGCAGTTGTGTAGCAGCTAGACAGGACAGAAGCCTACAATAACCACAAGGCACACTCCACAGGGTTAGTCCATTTATGAAGCTGGAAGGAGGAAAGTAGCAGAAAAAAGCAACAGTACTATTCGCTAGGGTAAGGAGAAAAAGGCAGAGCATTTTGCTGAAGCACAGCACTGGATGGCAGAAGATCTGCCCTCTGGCTCACACTGGGCAGCACTTCCCATCCACAGGACTGTCGCCATTACATTCACACACAGTGGCCTCAGGGAGGCCAAATACAGAGCAGCAAGCACAGCGAGACCCCTGCAGTGTGTTTTAGACATGGACAAACCTCTGGTAAGCATGCTGACATCCTTATCAGCTAAATATACTGCATATTAAAGGTTTTGATCAATCACGCTAAATAATGCATTTTAAAAGAATAAGAGACAGCACGGGAAGCTGGTGCATTAGTATCAGATAACACACCAGATATTTTCCATTAATGAGCAACTAGCTCAGTTTTCCCCTCCACACGCTTTACTGTGCTTTTCTTATTATTCACAAGGCAGTTTTCTAACAGCACCGCCTCCTGTACACAAACATTCACAAGGCTGTGTGCGTTTGTGGGGCTGTATGCATTTTCCTTTTTTTACTGCAACAGCTTTGTGATAAATAAACTGCACAGCCCCCACACAGCGGAGGCAGCGCTGACGCAGCCCTCAAAGCTTCCAGATGTGGAACCCAGAGCCGACCCTTCCCTGTTTCCGGCAGGACATGGCAATCCAGCTTCTGGCAAGACCTGAAATACCAAACTTTGTCAGAACAGCAGCTCTACAGGAAAACTTTATGCATAGAGCCACAATTATACATCCTAACTTACAGCCACGTCTACCAGCATCATTACAACAGCCAGCAGAGCGGGCTGATGCCTTCAGACACAGCAGAGTTTGAAACCTTGCCGATCCATCCTTCACCTTCACAGAGAGATTTAATCCTGATGACAATACAAAGTTCTGCTGAAGAAAAACAGTAATTCTGCGAAGATTGCTTAGCTGTCTCCAGAAGTGTGTGCTCAGACCACAAAGTTGCTATGGCACCAACTCCAGGCCTGTGGTCTGACACACAAAATGCCTTTTTCCTAAGGACTGTTGTGGGAAGCCGAGCACTTTGGCTGAGAACCAAATATGTTTTGGCTCTATAGCAGATATCATTTACTGCCACTCGGACATTCCAGCGGTTAGCTGCAGTGAGGCAGCAGGACAGCCAGCATCTCAGCATGCCCATGTCAACGTAGCCCTATGCGCTCCACGCCAGCAATGGCACACAGGAACCGTATCCACGCTTTCTCTGTTTACCAGCATTATTTAATGTCACAGCACTATATTCCCATCACTTCAGCACCAGACCAGTACAAACAGGAGAGGTAAGCTTTTGGCAGCTGCGTATCAAACCGCAACGGGAGGAAATTCTGCAGGATGCAAGATATTGCACTGATTTCCCTTATTTCCTGGTCCTTTTAATTATATAACCATCAGGATGTTTTTTTCAAGCGGCAGCTAGCAACAATGTGAGCTCACACGGGATTTCTGCAAACAATGAATGAGGGCCGAACAGTCCTGCAGCACCCTGGGGCGGCTCGGGCAGTCCGACAGCCCGCACGGACATCGCCGCCTCTCGCCGGCATCCAGCGGCTGCACAAGCCCGCAGCACACCCGGCTCCACGGACAGCATCACCCGCCGCGTCCCCGCGGCACAGCTCCGAACCGCTCCGAGCGCCGCCCCGCCTCAGCGCCAGGGGGCCGGGCCGCAGCACAGCGGGTGTGCGGGACAAGCGGGGAGCTCGGCTACAGCCATCGCTGAGAGCGATCTCTGGGGACCCGTACCGTCCTCCGTCCGACCGGTACGCGTTACTCGGGTAGAGCGGTCCTTAAATAACGCCACCGAGAATTCAGAAAGCTTCGGAGAGCGCGCCTGAAAGCACGAGCGGCAATATCCGTACTGCCGACGTTAGGGCCGATCCCGGCCCTGCAGGCACTGCCCTCACACCGCGCTCCGGCCCGCCGCGCAACTTCGGCCGTCAGCGGCAGCTCGAGGATCGGCCCGGCGCCGCCTCCTTCCCGCTTCGCTGTTAGAAAAGTAGCGGCGAAAGACCCAAGTTTTCGGAGCGCGGGACCTTCCCTCCCAGCCGCCCTCCGCGAAGGGACGGAACCGCCCGCAGGCGTGCGGGGCAGGCGGAAGCCGAGCGGCGCCCAGGCCCGGCCTCGCCTCGCGGCGCCCGCCCGGCTCAGGATCCCCGCCCGGCCCCGAACTTTCGCTCGCGCCGCGCCCGGCCCCGCGCGGACCCTCACCAGGGAGGAGGAGAAGGAGGAGAGGAGGAGGAGCGCCGCGCTCACCTCCGCCGCCGGGCCCGGCTCTGCTCGCCCGAGGGCTCCGCGGCCCGGGCCGGCGCCAGGCGGGCAGGCGGGCAGGCGGCGGGATGAGCTCAGCGCCAGGCGGCAGTCCCCGCCCCGCACCCCACGGCCGCCCTCCACGGGAGCGACTCCGCAGGGCGGGGCGGGCCGCGTTCCGCCTCGGCGCGGCCCCGGCGGGCGGCCTCGCAGCGCGCTGCCGGCAGGCGGAGGGGCGGGGCGGGGCGGGGCGGGGTGCAGTGCAGCCCGGAGCACTGCGACCTTCGGGGGAGCTCGGGCGGGGAAGCTCATGAGCGGCCCCGGAGCCCCTTCGGTTTCCTAAGCGTAATTCGGGCGCGCGGCGCCCATGCTCAGTCGTTCGAACACGTTTTATTCCGTAATGTCTTTCTCGTGTTTTGCTACGGCTTGCCCGAATGTCACCGAGCTCGGCTAGGTGAGGAGCGTTGAAAGCACTCATGCCGCTCGGGCCCGGGCACTAATGCTCCGAAGGCACGGCCGGCCCGAGGGGCGAGAACCGCGGTCGCACCTGACGCAGCACAGCGTTCGTACGGGCGGTCTGAAAACGCGTCACGGCTGACGAGATCCGCAAAGAACAGAGTTGGGGGAGTAGAAGCGGTAGCGACAAAAAGCGTCGGAGCCGCACGGACCGCCGTTACGCGGCGCTTCGAGGGGCGCTTTCACAGCAACGCTTCGGAGCGCAGAGCGACGGCTGCGCCGCACAGCAGCCCCGTGCCGCCGGGCCAGTGGCTGCCGGGCCGTAACAGCGCTCCGCCCCGGGGATCGGCGGCGGGCGGAGGGCGCGGAGCGTCTGAGCGCGACTGTGGCAAAAGCGGCGCTGGGGCAGGGAGGCCTGCTGCAATCTGCGTCCCAGTGCCGAAGGACGGGAAAATCGCAGCAGAGGCAACCGCAGAGTGATCCGAAAGCGCGGGACGATGCAGTCGGAGCCTCGTTCCGTTCCTCAAAAAGATGACTGGGAATTCGGTTATGACGTGTAATTGTAATGGGAGGACTAGGCATTTTTAACTGTACGGGATGGACCTTAACCCAGGCATTTTCTGACTTCTGAGATTTGACTCTGCAGTCTGAGAACTTGCTTTCTGTTTCTTGCAGACTTCCATCAGATGGTGCGGTGAGCCGCCCCGCTCTCACAGGGCTCTTTTCATCACACACACACAGCGGTTCATCACGTTAGGATGCGGGGGAACAGCACGTTGCTGTGCCAGGGAAAGGCCAGACTGAAGCGAGGCGGCCAAGAGCTGGGCCTGGTGCCCCGTGCCGGTCAGCGCTGCCCTCCGTAACTGCTGCACCTCCTGCTGGCGCTGAGGAGGTGGGTGGCATGGCTGGGTGGGCGCTGGGAGCCCCTTCCCACTGAGCTGTTGATATCAGTGCCATTTACATGCTTTGTAACTTATTCATCTTCTGTGACCGCTAGAAAATGTCTCTGTTTTTTTAAGCCTTATTTTCACGCAGAGATCATCAACTAATGAATACAGCAATACTGGTTAAAATGAATACTGAGTCCTTTGTTTAAGAACATGAAGATGTTTATGTTTTCTCTGTCAAGCAATGAAAAACTCGTGCTGTATTTTTATAAGATAACAGACAGTGATATAACTTCAGGATCGTATTCATTTAAAACACAGTTGTGTTTTGTGTCTCTTACTCCCGCTGCATGTTGACAAACCCTTCAGCGGATGTGCACAGGGAATTAAAACAGTGCTGTCCCTTGTGTGCTCCTTACCCTCCTGTTGTCCTCAGGGCAGGGACACCGTACATATGTATCAGCTCCTGAACTGCCTCTTCTTCAGATCAGCACATTAAGGTGAAAGGGGGCTGAGAACCATTCACCTCAATGCAGTGGTTTTGACAACTGCAGGGATAAACCAAGCTGTGCTTGATGAGGAACGTGTCACAGCAGCAAGGCTCCCAGCCCGAAGGACATACGGATGGCTGAAGGCAACTTCGGGTGTCCGCTTCTAACCCACCATCAAGGGCCTTCAGAGCTTTAGCCTGTATAAATAATTCAGCTGTGTTCCTCAAGTAATGCTTTAATTGTTACTTAGTAATCTCTTACTTCACAATTGGAGAATTCTACTTCAAAATCTCAGCATTCACCTCATGCTTTTAAAATAGGACATCTTGAACTGAACACCAAATAGATAGAACGTACCTGGTGATGAGATCTCAGCAGAACTCAGAGTCTGTGAATTGGAGTAGCACAGTAGTCAAGCTAGCCGGCTTTTAATGCTGAAATTAAGATCTCTTAATTGCAAGAGTGGGGAGGAATGTTATACCACAAGTGGTGAGTTGTAACTGCACTGCTGGTGCCAAATCCTACTGGAAATGAGGTACAGATATTTTTCCTCTGGTGCAGCTGTGATAACCCTGATGGGCTGTATCAAGTAGTGTGGTTACCACTACAGAGCATTATCTCCAGTTAGTCACCAGTACATTGAAACCAACTCACATTAATGGCTTTAAAGTGATGTTTTTTATAGGTGCAGACAGAGTTTTAGCAGTGGCAGTCTGCGTGCCACCACGATGAGTACAACCTCAATAACGTTAGCAGAATATGATGTGCTTTTCCCTCCCAAACTCAAACTGTTTGCCTTTTACATCCCAAGCACCCGATGCTTCAGCCATTCCCTGCATCCCGGCCAAACTGCTCAGCTTCTCTACATACCATTCAACAACACAGTTTCATATAATTACCAAAAAGATTAATCTTCCTCACACCAAAGAAGGAAAATGTAGGGACAGTACAAAACATTTACTGAGCAAACTATGCTGAGCAGACTATGATTTATGTTCATGTTTAATTCATCATGAAAAACTAAATCAGTTCAACTGCCAAATAATTACTACAGCGCCAGAGTATTCTAGAACATTTTCTATCTATGCATGCATTTCACGCAGCATCTTTCAGAATGTCTGTGCACAGCAGAAGAGAGGACCCATGTCTGTGCTCAGAAACAAGTGGCAGCCTGACACAGAACAAGGGCATCCTCACAAGAACATCTGGCACAACTGCCTTGTATGATATCACAGAGGCAGAGCATGGAGATGAAGACTCTCGGGGCACACCAGCAGTGGTTCACTGTCTGCCACTTCCTTCATCTTGACTCCAGAAGCTCAGGAACTGGAGACTTGTCCCAGAACAAAGGCAGCTCTACCTCTTCCTGCAGAGAACTCTTCCCTCTATTCTGCAGCGAGGCCATGTCTGGAAAGTGAGCAATTCTCTCAGAGGAAATGTCTCAGCTCTGGCAGCCTTTTATAATTTTGCCTTTGAAATCTGAGATAGAAAAACAGAGCCATGACACTGCTGTCGTGAGACAAATTCTGAGTCAGGTCCAGAGCTTGCTCTCTCTTTCTCCATATACACAACTAGAATTTTTGAAATAGTACTGTCAGTTGGATTTAGGTCCTCCTCTTTCACAGGACAGCTCAGAACTAGGACAATTTTAGCTGATTTCAACATTTCCCTATTTGCCCTAGCAGAACAATACTTTTGATCACAGCTACATGGGCTTCTCCCATCAGTAGCTTTTTCTTGGGAAGAATTCAGCACACATCCGGTTTTCTGCTTCTGCTGTTCTGCCCTTTGTGCCTTCCACACATTTCTTCAGATAATTTCCAGATAATCTGTCTACTCTCAGCCACTGAAATTCTTCAGCCTCTCTGTTCTTTTCCACAGAAGCTGTGGCCCTGCACTGGTTTCACACTGATAGGATCTCACTGAGCCTCACCGCTCTCACTCCTCCTCAACAGAACAAGGGAGGAAACACAGGGAGGAAAACTTCAGGGGCCGAGATAAGGACAGGGAGATCCCTCACCAAGCACCAGCATGGGCAAAAGAGGCAGCACAGAGAGATGAAAGTCATTTATTAGCTGTAGATAGACAGCAGACCAGAGCAGTGAGAACTAAAAGCACCTTCCTTCCATTCACCCTCTTTTACCTCCTCTCCATAAACAGCACAGGGGAACAGGGGTGCAGTCAGCCCACAGCAATCCAATCCTATCACTTCTCTGTGGTCTCTGCTCCTGCTCCACGTGCGGTCCCTCCCATGGATGTTGTCCTTCCTGAGCCAATTCCAAGTGGGTTCCCCACAGGCTGCAGCTCTCCAGGCACCACTTCAGCCCGGCTCTGTACCGCACGCTGTCCTTCAAGAGCTGCTCCAGCACAGCTCCATATCACAGGTGCCATCCTTCAGGCCTCCCAGCAGTTCTTCCCCTTCCTTCACCGTGCTCTCGCAGAGGGGAAGCAGCACCATCCGCAGGCTCAGCCCTGGCCAGCAGCAGTCCCATTAGGAGCCGGCTCTGATTCAGCATGCAGCAGCTTCTGGACTCCTCATAGAGGCCACCCCTGCAGCCTCCCATCACCAAACCCTCACTGTGGAAGCGCAGTACAGGTTGTCCTCATAGCCCCACATTATCATGCAAGCTTCTAGCAGTTTTAGAGACTTGTTCTGGAGAATGGGAACTTCAGACAGAGGAGAAATATAATGGCAGCAGTGCTCCCTTGTAATGTTATGGATGAGGAAGAATACAAAAATCAGGCTTCTTTTTCTGCTCAGCTTTGCTACTGCTTATGTTAATTTGGGCCCATCTTAACATTCTTATCTTAAATGTTAAGAGCTCCCTTTCAACATCACTGCTTTTACCCTGTCAGTTTGAGTTTCATGCAAAATAATAATTTGGTAGAAAATTGGTTTAATGAATTTTAGAAAGTAATTTGTCCTCTAACTAGTAGAATAACAACAGCAATTTATATTCAGTAGCTTTGTGCATCTGCAAATATTTAAGAAAGTTAAGTACCAACTCCAGGTTCATGATATTCACCCAGCACACAGCTACCTGATGTCTCAGCCTGCTTCTGTTTGTGATGCTGCCTTTTGCACAGTGGGAGACGAGTAGAAGGTAATTTCATCTTGGCCGCCTATTTCAAGCTCACATCCTCCAGTTAGACCTGAAATGAACTAACTTGTTCTAAAGCTATTCTGCGAAGAGGAACACATAGGTATGCACACAGGAATTATATTTAGACCCTTTTCCCCATGAAGCCAGGTTAGAAATTGGTCACAGGGCTTTACAGGCAAAAAGAGTGAAGATTAATATCAAGTTATAAACAACACCTCTTTCAAACTTCTGTGATCACCAAGTGCATCAGCTCTAACTTACCCAACAGGTTTTCTGTTTCATCTGCAGATCTTCAGATAAGTGTTAACCCCTTGTTTAACTTCTGCAAGATTGCCTGGAGGCAGTAAAGGAGATTGCATCTTCTCTGTTGTTCCACTGAATCGGAAAAGCAGCAAGAGATGGGTAGTAAACTTTGGATAGGGGACAGTAAGAAGTGCTGTCATTCAATCTGTGCAGGTATGATCCACGAGCACACATTCAGAGGCACTGCTCAGAGACAGCCAACTGCATACATGCAGCACAAGGAACAAAGCCTAGGACACATCTCCAATGCATACATATGCAAGTAATCCACAATCCCATGGACTGAGACAGCTACAGAAGAAATGAGAAAACAGGATGACTGAATGGTGCATTACAGGTCCTGGTATTGCTGGCAAGAAATAAAGAGTCTAACAATCCCTAAAGAAGCTCTTGTTCTTTCAGAACAAGCAGAATTTGGATTATAGCCTTGCTTGCACAGGAAACCTGTCACGGTCACACCTCTGAACTCCTACAAACAACTGGTATGTGAGACATTGCTATGGGCCACAAGTTGTAAAAATAATATTCATAACATTCTGCTTTACTTTTTGCAACAATAGAACTAAGTAATGTTGGGGAATCTTTTAAAGGAGCTTAACAGCAATGAGTATTTAAAAAGTACTCTTGGTTACAGGAAACAGTGCAATTCAGCAGAAAACCTAGGGTAAAAATATTAATGCACTTTGAGTACCTTTCTGCTTGAAATGCAAGAAGCCACAAAATACACACGAGAACTCCTGTTTGTTCAGAATTTCCTACAGCCCTCTTTGAACTTAAGCTCTTAGGGCAGTTGCCGAGAATCAGTGGGAAGTCCCCCACTCCTTGTGCACAAAAATATTCAGACAATAAAAATGCGAATTAGTGACTTGGAATGTGCTTCCAGTGCTTCCAGCTTTTCAATCCATTGATTTTTTTTGTTACATCCTTGGGATTTTTGAAGCATTAGGTGTCATTTCCTACATAACAAAATCGTGTCTTTTCCCTTGAGATTCGTGCTGCATTTCCTCCTGTCCCAGAGCTTTGGAACATTCCACCGCTGCCATCCTTCCACCCCGTTTTGGTGCGTGGGAATGTGAGCACACAGATAAAGGCATTCTCAGCAAAGCCCTCATGCGTCAAGTTCCTGAAAGAAGTCACAAATGCATCGTGGCAAATACGTTTGTAGCAGTTAAAAATGCCTCCTGTTTACCGTTTGCCAGTTTAATTCAGTTAGAAATCATTAATATTAAAGATAGCAACCACCTAAAGTTGGCCTTACTGAAGTTTGAGGCCAGAGTTCAACATAACTGGAAAGAAATTCATAACAAATACTGTCTTCAGAAACCTCAAAAAACTTCTGCACAGAATTTGAGTGCATATGCATTGACCAAACTATATGCCTGCCCATCTTTAAACATCTCCAACAAAACATCTGAGTCTAAATTTAGCTTTTTAACTTCATATGTTTTAAGGCTGAGATCCATAGAACAAAACAAGCCTGAAATTCTACACTTCAGCCATTTTTTTAAA